AAGGAAGCCTTCGAGGTTTCCAAGCTGGCGATGATTTTCGTCATTGCCGTGCCCCAATTGCTTCCATTCTTCAAGAAGGTCTTCTCCGTCCGTCTGCTCCCCAAACATGTGTCAGACTTCTTTGACGGGTCAGTTCCTGCACACAAAATCTATGTGTGTACTCAGCACACACTTCTAGGTGCGTGCTTACAAGCATGCACTTCTAGGTGTGTACTTGCCTAAGCACGCACCTAGAAGTGTGTGCTTGAATGAGCACACACTTGTAAGTGTGTGCTTAGTGAGTACACACTTGCGAGGTGCATTGCGCGGCATAGGGAAAACGCATGCACTTCTATGTGTGTACTCACTAAGCACACACTTACAAGTGTGTGCTCATTCAAGCACACACTTGTAGGTGCGTGCTTGGCAAGTACACACCTAGAAGTGCATGCTTGTAAGCACGCACCTAGAAGTGTGTGCTGAGTACACACATAGATTTTGTGTGTGCCGCTTGGTTATATTTCCTCGTGGTAACATTTTACAATGACACTCTGCAAACTCTACAGTGTGCTCAGTACACTCTGTTCAGCGTGTACTCACAAGCACACTCCTACGAGAGTGTGCTCAGCTGAGTACACTCTAACGAGAGTGTGCTTAGCTGAGTACACTGCAACGAGAGTGTGCTTAGGCGGTACAATATATGCAGCTGAGTACACGTTCGTGGGAGTGTACTCGTGAGTACACGCTGAAGAGAGTGTACTTATGAGTACACGCTAAAGATAGTGTACTCATGAGTACACTCTAAAGAGAGTGAGTACACTGTTGAGTTTGCAGAGCAGTCAAAAGAACGTAACAACCTGTTTGTCTCATCCTAAAGATGAAACACGTTTACGCACGTAACTCTTGTGGACTTTTTTCATAATTAGGCAAGCACACGTAAGATCTGTACAATATTTATGCATCACTGTTTACATTTTATGCATCCTCCTGCATAGATTACATACAATGATGAATAATATTGTCCGTCGAACATGTATTTAGGGCAAATTGGGTTCGTTTCGGGGCTCAGTCCAGGCTCAGGCCGGGGCTTCAGAAATTGGGGCTTGGGTGGGGGGCTCAAGTCTGGGCTCAGAACAGGGCTCTATCCAGGCTCGAACCGGGGCTCTGGATATCGGGGCTCGAGTTGGGCTTAGGCGGGGCTCAGGTCGGGGGCTCGAACAAGACGGGGCTCATGTCATGCCCAAACATTTGCTTACCCCACCCAGGACTGACGTTCTCATTAATACTCTAATTGTGATCACCTCGAAGGTGTTTTCATTGTTGCAATTTGAAGGCCGAATAACTGTCGTTTTCCCATCGTACACACTATGACTGAATTTCAACTCACACTAGTTAAATTTATTTCCTGCAGAGTGTTTCAAGAGACTATGCAGCACCGCCAGAAGAGCAACATATTGCGTCACGACTTCGTCGACTTACTGCTGCAAATCAAGACCAAGGGGCAGTTGGCAGAGGATGACGGCACCCTCAGAGCGGAGGCCGCGGGTAAGACTGCACAAGGATTTAGAGTGTAACCAAACCGAGGGGTGAATCACTCTGCCTTCTGGTATACACATGAGTACATGAGCACGGGTGAGTACACCTTGCTTTTCTTATAAATTTCACATTTGAAAACATTTTAAGGCTTTATTTAGCGTTTTAAACGGCACTCAACGCCAAATCGGTCGTAAACCTAGTGAATTTCGTCCTTTTGAAACTAGTGAGTACACTGGGTACGGGAAAATTTGTACACATGAGTACACTAGTGATTCACCCCTCGAACCAAACTGCTCCAGCGTCATGGCGTCTAAATCTGATTTGCGGTGTCCAGGCGGCATCGACGAGGACCTGCTGCCGGCGCAGGCCTTCGTGTTTTTCATGGCGGGCTTCGAGACGTCCTCCAGTGCACTGGGCAACCTCATGACGGAGCTGGCGCACAACCCGGACGTGCAGGACAAGGCGCGCGCCGAGGTGGAGCGCGTGCTGGCCAAGCACGGCGGCAAGCTCACCTACGAGGCGCTCGGCGAACTCACCTACATGGACCGCATCATCGACGGTAAGCAGGGTTCCGCACACTGAATGTTATGTACAATTTTGTACGAGATATTATAGTTTTTTGTGCACACGAAGTTTTTGTACAATTTTCGTACGAAACTGCACGTTTTTCGCCATTTATAACCTTTCTGAGAGCGAGGGCGGGGAGTCAGACGAGTCAGACAGAAAATTAGGACCGGGCGATGAATTCTATTTTCAGACTCGCGGGGAATAAACCTTGTCAAGTCTGAATTTTCAGACCACCGCGTCTGAAATTTTTTCCAGACTACAAGGTCCATATTTTTAGACCTGCGGTCCTAATGTTAGGGCTGCAGTCTGAAAACGAGATTCAGACGGTCAAGTCTAACACCTTCGGTCTGAATCTTCAGAATTTTTTTAACGGTGCAAAGAGCCTCAAAGTAATGACTAAAACTAATTGTAGCAAAAAATCTTGAAAATAATGTGCGCAATTAAAGTCAAAATTAACTTGCACAACCCTGGCTCCCTGCTGCTGCGATAGTGGGTGCAGTGGCAGAGACCGAAGGAGGCTTGGCCCGGCGCTACCTACTCACTCTCACTCCCCTTTTCCGAGTTCGTTAACCCGCTTGTTGCCGGGCTGTACCGAGGAAGCAATAGAAGACCCCCGGCGCCGCACGCGTTCCCAGAAAAGGCTGCCCGCGTATCGCCGGCACCGGCCGGCACCGACGCAGCAATTTGGGCAGCGAGTCAAGGCCACTCGGCCCCAGCACGCTGTCGCGTCCGTGGCCGGCCTGTGGCCGTGAGGGCCCAAAAACGTGTCAGCGCCTGGTCGTTTCTTCTACACACCAAATGTTTTTGTACAAATTTTTTAACGAGGCGTCAAATATTTTTTTGCAGATGAACTTTTTGTACAAATTGGTACCCGATCTTGTAAAAACATGGGACATTATGTACAGTTTTTCACCCGATAATTGTGCAAGAAGCTCATCTGCAACAAAAAAATTGTTATGTCTCGCACAAAATTGTACATTACATTAGTGTGACAACATCGCTGTGAGGCTAGTGACTCACTGAATATTTGTATATAAATTTTGTAGGAGGCTTCATGGCTTTTTCTACGGCCTTTTTGCATAGATTGGTCGCGACTTTGCTGCGTACTGCTAATTTTTAAACAAGGTAGGTTTACGCCAGACCGCGTCTTGTCGTAACAGGCTTCGCGATGTCTCGCTGCCTGTTCCTCCAATCCGCGCCTGGCGTACCTACCTTGGCCTGCGGCGCTAGGCTGCCTTCGGCAGGCAATGCTTGTCCATCATCAGTTACTTCTGAACTGTTGCATGCTGGGCGCCCCCCAGACCCCCCTTCATTCTAGATAGAGGTGCTTCATCTACAAGTTACACGATCTTGACCCTTGTAACTTTTCAACTTGTCGAGGCTGGGGAGCTCCGCCCCTCAGACCTCCCTTTCATCCAGACAGGAGAGATCTACCTGCTGAAAGCTAGATTTTTCGCCGTTTTTAGGTGTTTTTCGGCTATAAAAACTGAACCAGTTGAGCTAGGATGGTGAAATTTCGCGTATGCCGAGCCAGGAACATACCCAATAACCCTGCAAAATCTCAGCCAGATCGGCCGAGCCGTTCAGGAGGAGTAGTGTACACACACAGACAGACACACACACACACACACACAGACAGACAGACAAAACTTTTCAACCGCACTGGAGTAACAGGCTTCGCTGTCGCTCAGCCAAAAATCCGATAACTCCGGCCGAGGCCGAAGCTAAGGCCATAGCCGGGTCACGCTTTGTGCGGGGAGCGCCGGGCATGTAGGCAACACATCGGGCACGCTCTACGCCGGGCCTGTCACCACGTACTTCACACTAAGTGCATTTTGTACGAGACATCATAGTTTTTAGTGTACACGAACTTTTCGTACTATTTTGTACGAAATTTGCGGAAAATGTGCAGTTTTTCGTACGAAAATTGTACGAAAATTTCGTGTGCACCAAAAACTGTCATGTCTCGTCCAAAATTGTAACATTTAAGGTGTATACTCTTGTAAACTTTTTTAAGCATAAATATGCATGCACAGACACCTACGGAAGCTGTGTACAGTATTATTGCTATACATAAATTATTCACAATAACGCAAATCATTGTGCATAGCATATGCAAGTACCCGGAAATGCAGAATTATGCCTAAAGAAGTTTACAAGAGTTAAGTGTACGGTGAGCATACGGTGGTCCCCTGCTCTCTTTCTTTTCCTACGTCATTGACAATTCTTTATATTTTGTTGATTATTCACGGCATGTATCAAATCAAAAACTACTGGTAAAAAATTGAATCTTTCGAGGGCTTTGTTCATCTTTGCGGTACTCTAAGGTGGTTTCCATTCGCTTATCTTATCTAACGCTCTAACGCACGGCAAGAACCACACTGCAATGGACTCGGTCGGTATAGTTCGGTACGGAAAGTGAACAGAAAATGTGGTACAAAAGAAGGTTTAGGTTCAGACCTTCATCCGCCTTCATCACTGGTTCTCCGTTGGCCCCATAAGTACCTCATGCAAACTGGTACGGAAAACATGTACCTACGGAACCTCCGAAGCCGGTAAGGTGCATGGTCAGTCCAAGCAAATTGTTGACTAGATATGTTCCGTATTTTCTCTGAGTGTGAGGAATTTGATTCTTGCCCGGCCCGCACTACATGCACCTCTTATCTCACACTAAATTTCTTTGTACAAATTTGGTACGTGGTCACAAATTTGCACGCAATCTCGCACGAGTTCATTTCTGCGTACAAAGTTCCACCGAAAAGTTCGCATGTTTAAAATAATGTGAGAGCACGACGTTCAAAATTTACAAATACGTTTCGTGTGTAGGACTCTCTTGGTAAAGCGTGCTGCACACACTAGACTTGCCTAGCAGTGCGAATGAAGACAGTCTCTGAAAAGTATTTCCCGACTGATTCCAGAGACGATGCGGCTGTACCCCGCCGCTTCAATCCTGTCCCGCGTCGTGACGGAGGACTACACGCTGCCGTTCCCGGGCAAGGACGGCAAGCCCGCGGTGCTGGAGAAGGGCCTCCAGGTCATCATCCCGACGTTCGCCCTGCACCGCGACCCGGAGTATTTCCCGGAGCCCGACAAGTTCGACCCGGAGCGCTTCACGGAGGAGGCCAAGCGCAGTCGGCCGCACTACAGCTACATACCGTTCGGAGAGGGCCCACGAGTTTGCATCGGTAAGAGAGCAAGGAAATTTTAAGTGTTGTCTTGCATCCAAGAAAATGCCTTGGTTTCACACTAAATGTTATGCACAATGTTGAACGAGACATCACAGTTTTTAGTGCACACGAACTTTCCGATCAAATTTTGTAAGAAAAAAATGCACATGTTTCCCCAATTATGAGGAAAATTGCATACAAGTTTGTACGAAAAGTTCGTGCGCACTAAAAACTGTGATGTCTCGTACAAAATTTGTACAAAAATATGCAGTGTGTTTATTTCCTACTCTACAAATCGAAGAGCGTACATTGTATGCTCTAACTGGAGCATGCCTGCAAGCACGCTCTAACTGGCGCATGCCTACCAAGCATGCACTTACTAGTGCATGCATGCCAAGTACACCCTAACTGGAGCATGCATCTAGTGCATAAGGTATAGGGAATTGCCTGCATCAGATAGCGTGTAGAATTGCCTGCATCAGATAGCGTGTACATGGCATGTATGCACTAGTAAGTGCATGCTTGGCAGGCATGCGCTAGCTAGAGCGTGCTTGCAGGCATGCTCACTTACACGCTAAAACTTTTTTCGAAAAGCCCCGCCGAAAATTCGGCGTAAATAGCCTTCTTCGGCGGAAAACTGTCGCGCCGCGTCTAAGTTCGGTGGAATCACCCACCGACCGCCGCCGAACGCCGATGAACGTCCCGATGAACGTTCGCCGAAGCTCGGTGGGAGTGCCCGGGCCCATGAGGCCCCGTTGTGCTTCGACGGCCTTCCGCCGAACGGCTTGCCGTGCATGTTCGACGCTCCTTCGTCAAATCAAATCTAATTGGATTTTATGTAACAGGGCACGGAAATATACCAGCAAGGCAACGTAAAATTTCACGTAGAATATTATTTTAGGGTCAGTTGAGTAAATTGTCCAAGGATGTCCCGGTTAAAAGCGGATATGCAACCCAGAGCTAGGTTATGTCAGCCGTGACGTGCGCCTCGCGCCGTGCTTCGACGACAAACCCCTGTCGCGATTCACGCCGTATTTTCGGCGGTATTCCTTCGAAGGTTCGAGAAAAGTTTTAGCGTGTAGAGCATACAATGTACGCTCTTCGATTTGTAGAGTAGGGGTTTGAGTTATTTTTCCTCATGTACCGTACTAGCCTCTATCTCGCAAACCGCTGGATAGGGCAAAACGCAATGAAAAAGATCTTGTTCAGAATCAAATTTTACATGAACGTGACCATCGACAGTTCTCTTTGAACATTTTTTTAAAATATTGAATAATTTTGGCTTGTGAATTATGGAGCATTAAGCTCAAAATGAACGTTTTCAAAAATGGTTTTTGTGCCTCCTGTTCGGACCTCAACGAAAAGGCAAGCACCATGCACATTAAATATTTTTGTACAAATTTTGTTTGAGACATGACAGTTTTTTGTGCGCACGAAATTTTCGTACAAATTTGTTCGCGATTTCGACAAAATTGGGGAAATATGTGCAGTTTTTCGCACAAAATTTGTACGAAAAGTTCGTGTGCACCAAAAACGAGACATCACAGTCTTTGTAAAGGTGAACTTTCGATGCAAATTTCGCTCAAAACCTGCACATATTTCCCCAGTTTTGTACAGAATGGCGTACAAATTTGTACAAAAAGTCTATATGCACTAAAAATTGTGATGTCTTGCACAAAATGTGTAGAAAAAATAGTTGGTGTGTGAGCGTGACGATGAGCGTTTAGTAGCAAATTACGAAGACTCATTTATGTCTTGCTTCAACTGTACTCTCCCTACATCTTACCTCTGTTGCCCCTGCAGGTCTGCGCTTCGCCATGATGCAGATGAAGGCTGGTCTGTCCGCGATACTCCTCAAGTTCCGCGTGCTGCCGGTGGAGGGAGCCAACGACTACCCGGCACAGTTCGAGCCTGTGTCCTTCGTGACCAAGACGATCGGTGGCAACAAAGTGATTCTGCAACCAGTGGAACAGAAATCATAACTCTGCAACCTGAAGAGATTGACTTCGAACAGAACAGGCCGCACTGCTAACTCATTGTGGACTTACCTGATGATGGGGCGCACGATGTGTTCCAGAAACAAGTTCCTGCTAAGAAAGAGGCCGCGAACATGCGCAAAACTTAATCCGACTCGGTTTGTGGGTTCCTTTCCTCAGTAACAAACGGCTGGAGACCCGCTTTTCACTCTCCTCCATACATACTCTCCTCCTACCCAGGTTCGTGGTTCTTTCTCGCTCCCGGGGGTTTTGGACAGTTTCTATTGATGAGAGGAACCCACAACCCGAATTTGGTTCAGTTCTGCGCATGTTCGCGGCCAAGTGTTTTATTTCTGCTTGCTGGAGCTTCGTAGAGCAGAGGGTTTGAGGAGAAGTGCATTGATTGGCAAGTCATCGCCCGGACTGAGCTGTGAGAGTTCTGAGATGTAACACCAGAAGTACAGTTTTGTAATTGCCATGCTTATTGGTTAGGCTACATGAAGGGGGCGTATTTAATTTGTGATTTAGATTTATCAATTGTTAGTTAGTCTGTACGGCAGTAGGGTAAGTTCTTTAGTTGGAAGTCTGTCATGATTATTCCTCATAGCGCAATAGGATTCTGATGTTTGAACCAACTGTCCGGGAAACCATTGAAATAAAATCATTTCCGTTTTGACAACTACATCGTGTTTATAATTTATTGAACAGCTCTTAAACACACGCTAAATGTTCATGCACAATTTGGAACGTGGTGATGCATGATTTAAAACCTGTGTACCACTGTACATAATGTTGTGCTCATATTTGCATAAATTTATACATTTCACGCATAATAATATGCAAATTCCACGTACGCAAAAAATCGTGCAATCACTGCGAGATAAATGTTGAAATAATAATGAATAAACAAAATGATCTAATTATCTTTGAAATTGGCATATTTGTCTGCGACATTTGTCATACTTGTTACCCGTGTACTTAATCTCGTCATTCAACTGTTCCCTCCTAGTCCTGTCTTTTGTTCCTTGTCATGAGTCAGTCTGAAATAAAAATGAGACCATGTGAAGCCTGTTTTGTCCCTTATCCAATTGAATCCTGAATCGTCGATAATTTAGAGTGCCATCTGTTAAATTTGTGATTTAGCCTATCAATTCTTTAGTCCGTAAGGTAGTAGAGTAAGGTTCTTAGTTGTTAGCTGTTAGCTGTAAGTCTGTCTTCTCAATTTCTCATCACGCAATAGTTTTCTCATACTTGTATCCTCTATCCGGAAACCACTGAAAAAACTCACTTCCGTATTGACCATTACATCGTTTACATCGTTTTAAAGAGCTCCCGAGTGTATCTACCCACTACTCAAAAATTCTGAACAATCTAACGGGTTTTGGGCCCAGGACTCGTTTAACTGTGTCCCTGTAGTGGTGTGGAAATTGTATTTTTGTGATGGGTGAAAAATATTTTTTATCGCTCAAAATCACTTGTACCACTCAAGTGGGGTTTATCCTACCTCGTGGAGAGCACAGCTTCAAGACCCTCAAGCTTCAAGATAAAGAAGCAAAAAGATGGCCGGCGACGATGAAGAACCTAAAGCACCAACTGTATAGTGCAACATACTTCCAGAAATACTCCACCCTTTTCAAAGCTGAAGGGGGAAAAAATTTGGTCTGATTGGAATACTTGATGGAGTTGCATCTTGGCGGCTTAAAGCAAGACGGTAAGACGCTGGACCACTATCTCACGAATGCACCGCTCGCTGCAGAAGGGGCAACGACAAGAGGGTGCGAAGAATTTTGAGTTCCTCTGGAACCCATTTTGTTGATCCATGCAAAAACTGCGACAAACTCCAAGGACATATGGCCCAAATTTGTGCAATGTGTTTGAAGATACTGGTCCCTACCGCAGACTAGCATTGTTGGATAAGATCTCAAGCATAAAGCACGAAAATTTTTGGATCATTGAGTGAGTACGTGACTGCCTAAAAGGGAAGTGCTAGAAGAAATTCGAGCTACCGGCAAGCCCTATGCCGAGGAGAACGGTGCGTACGGTCTCCTTAAGGGGATGCGGGCCCGACTATCGGTGGTTGAGACAACTCATAGAGAGAAGCGTGAAGAAAGAAGAGGGTCTGACGATAGACTTTGTACTACCGAGCTACTTAGAGAGGCCCACGCGAAGCGGCGGAAGCCATGGGAGCGACATCAGCGCTGCGGGCGAGCGGCGGCGGAGGCGGGAATCATCACCAACGTGGGGGCCGGAGGGGCGCCGTCCGGGAGCACAACCAACAAACAACCAGGGGACAAAACAACACAACGACGAATGGGGGCAACGCAGCCAAAAATATTCTTCTGCTTCCAACGAACTAAAAGTGATCGAAGCTGTCTGTGCTGAAGAAGAAAAAAGAAAAACCAGAGGAACGGGGATAACAAAAACGGTGGTAAAATACCCAAAAATAGCAAACATAAGCCGGTCCCAGCCAAGGGCATGCGCAGCAGCCAAGAAATCAAGGTCTTCAAGTTTTGGAGCCGAACTAACCTATGGAAAAACTTGTTGAGAAAAAAGACAACCCCGGGAAGGTGTAACCAACGTTCACCACAATAGGGGAGAAGGTTTAAAGGCCCCAATGGCTGTCGGGTAGGGCACAAGTTTTAAGTTTGGGGCAAACTTGCTGTCTGTGGGGGAAAATTGTGGGATTTAGAACCACAATGTAAAGAATGTGGGGACAAGCCAAACAGTAAAAATTGAAAGGGCCCATGCTTCAGGAGGCTTCAAATGGCAGTACAAAGTGTCTTTGGATTTCCCCCCCGAAACTCTATCCCCCAAGATTAAATTGGTTTACAAGAGACTGGACTCTAGGGAAGGGTTAAAATTAAAAAAGCAAAAACTTTTTTGGTTTAATCACCAAGGCACGGAAATCCCTTGATGTGGCACAGAAAGCACACTAGGGAGTTAGAAATGGTGAAATAAACAGCAGGAGTGTTGATCTAACACTGGCATCTCGAAGTCACAGATGGACCTCATGGAAGGGTAAGGATTTTTTCCCATTTAGATGACAAAAGCCTTTACTGTAGTTGCCCTTCTAAAGACTAAGGACGAGATTTTTGAAAAAATTTAAACAGTACAAGGGTCTAGTAGAAAACCATTTAAATAAATCAATAAAAGCTTTGCGATCAATAATGGAAAAGAATACCTCTCAAAAAAGTTCATTGAATATCTCAAAGAAAAAGGCATTGCTCGCCAACTGTCTGTGGTGTATAGCCCGGGAAAAGAATGGAGTAGCTGAGAGGACCAAAAGAACGCTGCTGGAAAAAACTAGATGTATGTTGAAGGAGGCAGGGGTGCCAAACAAATTTTTGGGGGGAAGCTCTGAAGAGGGGTGTATTTAAAAAATATATCACCCACAAATGCGGTCAAGGACATGGTTCCACATGAGGCATGGCTGGCTGCAAAACCCAAAGTGGAAAATTTGAAAGTGTTTGGGGGTTTGGGATACGTTCATGTTAGAAAGGAAGAAAGTAAGAAATTAAAGGGTAGAAGTGAACGGTATGTTTTTGTAGGGTACGATTGTCAAAAGAAAGGATATATTTTGGTGGACCCTGCGAGGGCCCAAAAACAAGTCGAGAGTAGAGATTAGTGTGATATTTAACGAAAAAGTGTTTCCCTGTCGCCACCACCAATCACTGATGGGGAAAACCCAGAAGTGAATCCAGAGGATCCTGTTCAGGTACAAGTTAGGATTCAGACAAATAGGCGTCGAATCGTGTCCGAGTCGGAGAACAGTGGTTCTGACTTCAGGACTTCCAGCGAGAATGAGGAGAGGGACACGACGGATGAGTCTGAAGACCAGGATTCAGAAGACGAGGAGACAGGGGGTGATGGCGATGAGGGTATAGGGAGTAGACTAAGGAGAAATCCCAAGAAGAAAAATTTCGGGGATGATTTTATGACAGCTTTCATGGCAAAAGCCAGGGACGGTGATGAGCCGGAAAGTAGAAAGGAAGCTCTGGCGGGAGGAAATAGTGAGCAATGGAAAGAGGCCATGAACTTAGAGTACGATTCGCTCCGTAAGCACAATGTGTTCAAGCTGGTGCCTAGACCTAAGGGTAGAAATGTTGTAAAAACGAAATGGGTACATAAGATTAAGAGACTGTCCGATGGAAGCATCGCTAGATTTAAGTCCAGACTTGTGGCGAAGGGTTACTCCCAGAAACCGGGAAGTGACTACAATGAGGTTTTCTCACCAGTTGTCAGGGCTGAAAACCTCAGATTGGTAATTTCACTTAGTAATGCACTAGACTTAGATATGACCCACATAGACATATGTACAGCCTTTTTAAATGGAGATCTGGAAGAAGAAGTGTACATGGAACAACCAGAAGGTTTTGTTCGAGGTAGTGCGGATTTTGTGTGTAAATTAAATAAAGCCATTTATGGTTTGAAACAGGCATCTAGAGCCTGGAACCAAAAACTGCACAGTTTTATGTCTGGGTGTGGCTATGAAAGAACTCTTGGAGACCCATGTGTGTACATGAAGAGGGGTAGAAAGAAAAATGTTTATAATTATGTCTGTATTCACGTCGATGATATATTTATGTTTTCAAATGACTCTGTGGAACAAGCTAATTTTAAGAAAAGACTGTCAGAAGAATTCGAGGTAAGAGATTTAGGAGATCTAAGTTACTTTTTAGGTGTAAGTTTGATACGAGACAGACCAAATGGTACTGTAAAGCTCTGCCAGGAGCAATATATCGACAAACTTGTGGAGAAGTTTGGGGCTGAGAATCTCTGTACCTTCAATACTCCCCGAGCTTCCGATGTACGTTTCACTAGGAACGATGGAGATAAACCAAATGTTCCCTATCAGAATTTGATTGGGTCATTAATGTATCTTAGCACTTGGACGAGGCCAGATATTACTCAGTCTGTCAATTATCTCAGCCAGTTCAACAATAGTTTCGATTTAGAGCACTGGGATAGTGCTGTTAGAGTTCTAAGGTATTTAAAGGGTACAAAGCAGAAGGGAGTTACCTACTGCAAGGGGAACAAAGACATTGTTGGATATTGTGATGCCGACTGGGGCAGTGATGTAGTAGACCGTAAGTCTTATTCGGGTTATCTGTTCACCCTAGGAGATGGAGCGATCTCATGGAGATCAAAGAAACAGAGTACTGTTGCTCAGTCCTCATGCGAGTCTGAGTATTTGTCACTATCTTTCGCTTCAAATGAGGCGGTATATCTGAGAAACATGTATAAGCAGCTGCTGTCACTCGATGAGCTGTGTGTAAAAATACATTGTGATAATCAAGGGGCCATTTTTCTGGCGAAAAATGATGCATTCCAAGCCAGGACCAAACAGATAGATATTGCCTGTCATGTTGTAAGAGATTTAGTCAGTAAGAAGTACATTTCCATTCATCATCTTGGTACAAAGTTGCAGATAGCTGACATTTTTACTAAACCTCTTTCAGGTCCTGATTTCCAGAAATTTGTAAATGCCATGCGAATTGGTTAGGCTACATCAAGGGGGTGTGTTAAATTTGTGATTTAGCCTATCAATTCTTTAGTCCGTAAGGTAGTAGAGTAAGGTTCTTAGTTGTTAGCTGTTAGCTGTAAGTCTGTCTTCTCAATTTCTCATCACGCAATAGATTTCTCATACTTTTATCCTCTATCCCGGAAACCACTGAAATAAACTCACTTCCGTATTGACCATTACATCGTTTACATCGTTATTGAAGAGCTCCCGAGTGTATCTACACGGAGAAAAAAAAGTGGGTGTCGCAACGACAAAGTACGTGTCCCACGTACTTTTCGTGCGTGGTTTTGGCCTACGTACGAAAGTGGGTGTGGTGGCCACTTTTAGTGTGTGGGGGCTAGGTGGGTGGGGGAAATACGCGAAAGTGGCCGTGGTGCCCACTTTTCGCACGCGCAGCACACATGGGGTGAGTAGGAGAGGTCATCGTACGTAGCCGTAGAGCTTGCGTTCGGTATGCGCGACATGCAAGGGATGGGTAGGGGACCTTCCCAAAAATAGGTATGGAGCCTGCTTTGGATACGCGTGACAACCACGGGATGAGACCTCAGGAGATACTTTAGTATTTGTGCTGGATGTACGCAGGTGCTTGCCGCAGCTTTGCAAAATGGTTGTTGCAGAAATTAATAAGTATGTGTTACACATGTGAAAAGGAGCTGGCATGTGTACTTCAGAGTAGCAGTTTTATTGGTTTAGGGCAAAAATATGGGATAAATTATCATAGGTAAACGCAAGTGTATGATATAAAAATTTTATTGGTGACAATGCAGAGCAAGTTGTAAAATCAAAATACAAACTTAAGAAAATGCATAAGTGCTTTCAAACCCTTAAAAGTAGTAAGTAATATGTACAATCACTATATGATTAAGTATGTTTCATGCAAGCATAGCGCATTTCCTTTGAGGACATAAAGGTGTGCAAAACAGGTCGAAAACTTAACAAATTTTCTTGCTGTATGAATACAAACTCATCGGTGTCATAAACTTCATAACCATTTATGATGTCATCAAACGCACCGGTGAGCAAAGTGCGGCAAAACAGATAGACAACATTCCCTTCAGAACAAAAAAATTTCTCAATATCTCCAAATATTGGCAAATCATACTCATCAAGACCCATGGCTACACACATCCCTCTCTTGTAAGTTGTACCTTTAACTTTAGCCCATGAAACCTCTACACACGTATCAAGAATGGATGATGAGATGCCACAGGAACTATTACCAGCAGCTAGAGCAAAGCAGTCATCGTTGACTGCTTTCAAGTAGGTTGCTGGACCAGTTTCAGGTTTGCACTCAAGTCCTCTGTTGCTGGAAATGCGGTAACAAAATTGAAGCTGCTCTTTTAAAGCAGTTGTGAACACAATGTTGACTCTAGATGATGTTGCAACGGCTCTTAATTTAAACAGCCTATTTTTTGATTCCATTCTCATAGAACTGAAAAGACTGAGAGGACCAGACATTTCTAAAAGAAAAGGCCAGTGGGTCATGATGTGTTCCTTGGCTTTAAAAAGTTCATCAAATAATGTTGAATAAAGTTTGAGAAACTCTGTAATCAAGTATTTTAAACGATTAATTGTACCTGGCGGATGAGCAGTTGAGCGAACAATGTCCAATATTTCTCTCATAACTAGATACAATGGCCACACAGCATTGCCTTCTGGCACCAGGTCACCCACTAAGAAACTGAATATAAGAATGAAGTTTATCATTTCACTACCAGACATGTAAATTTTGCCCTTTTCTTCAAATTCTTTGGGTGAAATGGGAGGCGGCCTGTTTGAAATGCCATTCAGGTCAAAATCAAAAGTGTTCATCCTCTCATTCACACATTCCAAAGTTATATTATTCGTATTGTCACTAAATAAGTTTTGTAGAATTAAAATCATGGCCCTTTTCCCCGAACCTTCAGCAAATTCATGCAATACTGGATCAGAACAAAAATTCTCATACACATGAAAGTGCTCAACATCATTCCAAATAGATTTTTCTTTGACGCCACTCTTTGACATTGGAGCGGCGACATCCCTTTCATAGTCATCAACATTCCGTCTTAGTTCTGGTGTCTCGCAACAGTCAGTTGTAGTTGTATCCCTGTGAGTTTTGCAGAACCTACAGAAGTAGTAAGCTCTAAAACTTTCCACAAAACCTAATACACCGTTCAGAGCAAGGTTATCTCCTAAAACCAGTCCTAACGCAAAGTACACTCGAATTGGGGAACCATCGACATCAATTTCAATCCCCGTCTTCTGGAGATAATTAATTTCATCAACTAGAATTTTAAAAACATTTGCATTTCCAAACAGAGATCTATCAAGAGAGTAAATAAGCAGTGCTAGAAATATGTTTTCCAATTTGGATTGATACTCTGGTGGTAAACAAGGGATTGTTACATAAGTTCCACCAAGTTTTGATACAACTTTATGACTGCCGAGGGGATCATTGACCTCCAGATCATCATAATATACAAACAAAGGAAAAACAATCTTATCTTTAAAATGCAGAGCCTTTTTTTCTTTCCACAACTTGCCTTGAACAAAATTGGCGAGTACATTTGTTTCCTTTTCAAGTTTTTCCATGTATGAGTAACATGTATTGAATACTCCTGGCAAAGAAAGAAACATCTTGAACAATTTTCTTAAAGGAATAAACTGGCCTTGCATAGGCACGATTTCTTTGACCATGATACCATTTTTCTTTTTATCTCGCATACCATATCCAATTGTATGCGGAACTGGTAACAATAGACAACCTTGCTCTGAAAACATTTTTAGCCTAAGGTAATCAGAAGAAAAAGAATCAAAGGACCTATCAATAACATCAAACATGTCTGCTACCTTTCTAATTTTCTCATGCTCGATCTTCTCACTTTGCATAGTTGTAACAATAGTTGGCTTTACAATTGAAATTACTTTAGAAGTTAGTTTATGCAACTCATCAACCACTACTTGCACCTGACAACGGGGGAGCGTAGGGTCAGCATACAGTTTGCCAGTAATCTCAATCAGCAAATCACGCATCTCTTCTTCCACTTCTTTTGCAACTAAAACAGGGTCAGGCGCCGACTGTTCATTTGCATCACAACTTAAATCAACAAACACGTTTTCAATATCACTAGCAGAATCATTTAGTTCAGTCTCGTGAAGCATAAATTCACTAACAGTTGGCACAGGACGATGGCATCTGCTTAAATGTCTTCTTAATTTAGCCCAAGTATTGAAGTTAGAAAAGCAATTTTGTTCTACACATGTATAAAAAAGGAGACAATCTTTCTTGTGTTTGGAATCAAAATGAACCTTAAGGCCAGGAATATTTGAAACAAAAGTTCTACACTTAAAACAGGAAGGCATCTTAAAAACTTTGTACCTTTGTTTCGCAGAATATAATAAAATTCTACCTTAAAACCTCAGAAAATTTGTTGGGCTACAACCAAACTCAATAACTGATATTTATCTGGATAATATTGAGCACATACACATATGGTAAATGAACAAATAAATTAAAAAATAATAAAACTAATGATAGTAATTAAATAAGGATGAATAAATCATGTCTATGGTTGAGACTGTCTAAGAACAATATTTTTGTAATCTTTAATTAGTGTGGTAACTTGCCCTATTTTCAAATCCCAATGGGTATACTTCAACCTCACCCACCCATAAATGGTTGTGGCACCCACTTCTCTTTTCTCCGTGTACCCACTACTCATAAATTCTGCACAATCTAACATGGGAACCCAGGCGAAAATGTAACTGTTTCTAAAACCTGGTATAAGAGGTTCCTTCCGAGTTCTCTCAACAGATAGTAGTGGGTTATTAAACTGTAAATTGGGACGCTCTGGCTGTTTCCTAAACCCGCTGCTGCCTGTTCGCTGTCGGTTTCTTACGTGTGGCCGGCACAGATAGGTAACTCACTGGTAAAAACTAAGGCGTAGTATTACGCCTCTTTGAAGCGTACTAAAGGCTGGAACGCCCTGCTTCAAGCGTAGAGTTTGTACGCTTGAAGCCAAGCGCACTCAAGCCAGGTCAGAAATTCTTACGCCCTGCTTCAAGCGTAAAGTCAGTACGCTCAATTTCAAGCGTAAAGAAAACCTATGCTCAATTTTACAAGCACAGGAGAATGCGCACATTCATCGTGTGAAACCAGCTTAATTTAATTTCAGATAATATCTTACATTAGCTTCATGCATCCTTCATACAATAAATGAACTTTCAAAGAAAATTACAAAATGTATGAAAAAGATGTTTGGGGGTCCAAGTCCTATAGGCCTTTAGGACTCCAGAACACTCCAAAAGTGTTTACACCTGGCGCAGTTCCGGCATTCACTCTTGAGACACTTACCTTGTAGTGCTATCCATTAATTGTTCCTGCTGGTTTGGTTTTAATGTTTATGATTTGTTTCTTAGTCTCAGACCACTGGGGCTGGCTTTCATGTTTCCTGATGACATGCTGAAGGCCTAGCCCCACAGACAGAGTACATAACCTCTTGGTGCTGATAGGACAGTTCGATTTTACTCTACTTTCAAGTTTGTGAGAATGCTGTGACTGTGAGCATAAAGATTTCTTCGGGCAACACACTGGGCACAACTTCAAAATGCTTGACATGGTGCAAGTGATGAAACTGATCCGTTTGAAACACACAACAAGTTTGTCAACACAAACACACATCTTGACTATTCACCCTCAGTCTCGAGTGCAAATAAGATACCGGAGTATGAAAAGCAACAAGTAACTTATTTGCACTCGAGACTGAGGGTGAATAGTCAAGATGTGTGTTTGTGTTGACAAACTTTGTTTCAAATGGATCAGTTTCATCACTTGCACCATGTCAAGCATTTTGAAGTTGTGCCCAGTGTGTCGCCCGAAGAAATCTTTATGCTCACAGTCACAGCATTCTCACAAACTTGAAAGTAGAGTAAAATCGAACTGTCCTATCAGCACCAAGAGGTTATGTACTCTGTCTGTGGGGCTAGGCCTTCAGCATGTCATCAGGAAACATGAAAAACCCGCGCCAGCGGTCTGAACTAAGAAACAAATCATAAACATTAAAACCAAACCAGCAGGAACAATTAATGGATAGCACTACAAGGTAAGTGTCTCAAGAGTGAATGCCGGAACTGCGCCAGGTGTAAACACTTTTGGAGTGTTCTGGAGTCCTAAAGGCCTATAGGACTTGGACCCCCAAACATCTTTTTCATACATTTTGTAATTTTCTTTGACAGTTCATTTATTGTATGAAGGATGCATGAAGCTAATGTAAGATATTATCTGAAATTAAATTAAGCTGGTTTCACACGATGAATGTGCGCATTCTCCTGTGCTTGTAAAATTGAGCATAGGTTTTCTTTACGCTTGAAATTGAGCGTACTGACTTTACGCTTGAAGCAGGGCGTAAGAATTTCTGACCTGGCTTGAGTGCGCTTGGCTTCAAGCGTAACTCTTCTTTACGCTTGAAGTCAAGCGCAGAAGTACGCTTCAAGATTTTACGCTTGAGGAAAGGCGTAATACTACGCCTTAGTTTTACCAGTGCTGTTCCTTCCCGGTTCCTTGCCGGTTCCTTGCCGGTTCCTTGTGGGTAACCTACGGGCCACGCCGCAGGCTCGTGGGGTAGCGCTCGGATAGCCCCCCCCCCCCACCCTACCCGCTACGCTACACCGTGTTGGCTAAAAGTGCCCCCCCCCCCCCCACACACACACACACTTTAAAAAATATATTTTGAACCGCATATTTTTTCCTACTCTTCCGTTCTGTGCCTACCTACACTACATCTCCCTCCTACCTCCCATCCCCCTGTGTAATGTATGTGTGTTGTGCCCCTCGCCTCGTGGCTTGCTACGGTCCTCCTGCATCGGCAGCGACCCGGATTTGAACCCGCGCCGTCCGATCACAGTGCCATCGCCTTACCACTCGGCTACCCAGGTGCGTGCTCGACGACGGCACAGAACACGCTGATATAGGCAGGCCCTTGCCGGCTACCTGGGCCCTCCCGCCGCCCGCCCCGCTCCATCCCTCCTCCCCCTCCTTTGGCCCACAGAGTTGACTGTTCCTTACGGGTTTGACGAACGCACAGTGAACCCGCTACTAAAGGCTCTTTGGCGGTTTGCACGTGGGTGAAACTAACTGTTCCTTGTGTGTTTGGAGAACGCACAGTAAACCGGTTGCTGAAGGTTCAGTGCAGGTTCCGTGTGTGTTTGCAAGCGAGTGCGAGTTGGCTGTTTCTTGCGTGTTTGGGAAACACACAAGGAACGGACAATACACGGTTGTGTCTGGGTTCAGTGTGTCAATCACATAAAGGTTCTTTGGCCGTTCTCAGAACCAACAGAAAACAGTAAGATGACTGTTCCTTACCTGTTTGATGTGGGTTCTTTGGTAAATGTTTCGTGTCCGTTTTGAAAACAGCCAAGGAACCCTCTACTGTTGTGTTTGTGGGTTTTAAAGCTGTTTCTTATGTGCAACGGGTTTCTTGCGTGATCAAGAAACAGACAGAGAACACGTACGTACGGTTTCCATTTTCGCCAGGGAAAGCTGATCTGAGATGTCCTAGAGCTCACAAAATTGATCCAGCAGAATATTTTCAACATCTCCTTGATTATGAAGATGGACGATTTGCTAAACATGAAACATTCCGTTTCTTTGCTATGAATTCATTAATGAGATGGAATTCATGCACTAGCGGATCTCTCTTTGTTCAAAACAATCCAGAGTTCAAAGACATCTCTCTGTCTGCACTTAAAAGCATGTTGCAAAAGAATCCTGTGTTAATGAAAAAAATAATGCTTCAATCATCAGTTTTAAGAGGGTCCAAACAATATTGGAGTGTTAGGACCAAGGAATTAGAGGACATGATTGAACAATTGGGTTTGCCAACAATCTTCTTAACACTAAGTTGTGCTCATGATTTTCACTGGCCAGAATTGTTTCGTCTATTGACCGGTCTCGATGATGTCAGTGAACTGTCAGAAAAAGATAGAAGAAACCTGTTGTAGCAAAACCCTTACATTGTGGATTGCTTTTTCCACCAGAGAGTGCAAAGCTTTTTCAAGCAAGTTTTGTGTTCTGAGCTCTGTGTGAAAGACTATTGGTACAGAATTGAGTACCAGCACAGGTATGTAATGTCAGAAACAGTGTACTTTTATATCATTTACAGTAGTTTAAAAATAGTTACTGTTTGTGTTTAATTTTCAGAGGCAGTCCCCACATGCATGGAATTTTATGGTTGGAAGGAGCACCTGATGTTACCAATATCAAAACGGCAAATGAAGAAGAACTTGAACAAATTTGTGATTATTTTGACAATCTTGTCAGTGCAGTCAACCCGAATCCAAAAACTGAAAACACAGGATTGCACCCATGCCGTACATTGTTCTCAGATGTCAGAGGCAGCATCGAAAAGGAAAAGGAGGATTTGGCACAATTATGTGTGCGGGTGCAGCGTCATACTAAATGCTCTACTGATTATTGTCTCAAAGGCAAAAAAAGGGCTCCCAAAAGATGCAGATTTAACTTCCCTCAAAAGCTTCAGGAAAGGAGCTCCATCCAATTCGACAGTGGCACTGGAGAGCCTGTATTTGTGCCAGCTAGAAATGATCCACTTTTGAACAAAATGAATCCATGTTGGTTACCTTGGTGGCGTGGCAATTTAGACATATCACCAGTCCTGTCCAATGCCAACATGGTGCACTATTTGTCAAAATATGTTTCCAAGTGTGAAACTCGATCAAAATCACTAGCTGAACTGTTTCAACATGTGTTTGAAGATTTTAGTGAATCTGATTCTGTTCTGAAGTTTATAAGACGACTGTACATTCGAAGTTTTTCTGAAAGAGATTTTTCTGCGCAGGAGGTGTGCCACATTTTAAGTGGAAGGTTTTTGTACACTGCTGGGAAGCGAAATTTTGTTCACGTTAATTTGAACACAAACTCCATGTGGAAGAAGGTGCATAGAGTGAGTCGTTATGGGAGAACTGGCGCCTCAGTTGTGGAGAAATATAGGACCCGACCACCAAACTTGGAAGACCTGTCTTTGTGGGAATTTGCCAGAACTCGTGATGTGTCTAGAAAACCCTACTCGAGAAAAGCAGTAACTAACATAGTCCAGGTGTACCCTAAAACCCGATTGGAGCCTCAGAGGGAGAACAATGATAACTATTACAGGTGCCAAACTTTGTTGCATGTTCCATGGAGGTCAGACACAGAATTTTCAAGCCAAAACCTTACATGGAAAGAAATTTATGAAAATGAAAACATTCATAAAAAAGTTGACAGACTTAATGATTTGCCAATGATTGATCCTATTGAACCCAATGAAAGTTCAGACAGCAACACTGAAGATGATACAAATGATAATTTAGAGGAATTTATGATTCTTTCCAGGATTGGACCAAAGAATAATGTACCTGAAATAGAGCTTGGACTGAGACAAATTGATTCAGACCATGACTGGTCAAGCTCCTCAAACAAATATAAAGAGTATGGTTCATTGGATGAACTTGCAAAATTCATAGACAATACAAAAAGAGAACACAAAGAGGATGATTCCATTGCACATTTTAATTGTGATGACTATGAATTCAGTGACGAACAGAAAGCTGTTATTGAGCAGGTGAATGAACAAATATCAGCTGTGTTGATCGGTGAAACCCATCCCATCAGATTCACAATTGTGCAAGGTAAAGCTGGGACAGGAAAAAGTGTTCTCATCAGATACATCAAGTGGACAGCAGAAACCACGTTACGAAAACGTGGTAGTGTTCTCCTTGTTGCTCCCACTGGAGTAACTGCTCTGAACATAGGGGGAGAGACCATTCACACTGGTTTGAAAATGCCTAAAGACAGGAACTTTTTTGGTGAATTGACAGGAGATACCCTGAACAAATTTTATGAAAAGATGGAAAATGTCTATTTTTTAGTGTGTGACGAGTATTCTATGGTTGGAGCTGCAATGTTGCGATATATGGATTTAAGATGCAGACAGGGAAAAGGGTCTGATGAACCGTTTGGTGGGTTGTATGTTTACCTGCTTGGAGACATACGACAGTTGCCACCAGTAATAGACACTCCATTATACCGGATTCCAGAAAGAGACTCTTATGCTGAGCAAGGAATACTTTTACTGCATGATCTTCACAAGGTTTTCTTTTTGAAGAGATGTTACAGGCAACAGGACCAACATTTCGTTGACATGTTGGATCGCATAAGCTTAGGGGAACCCACACGTGAAGATTATGAACTGTTGACTACCAGATTCATTTATCCAGTCCAAGATGATCATGATTTCAAGGATGCTCTCAGACTGTTCACAACGAAACTACTGGTGAAAACCTACAATTATTCATCTCTCCGGAATCTGAAATGCCCGTTGACAGATAAGCATGTACCTATTGCAAAAATAACAGCCCAGCACAACTGTGACATTGCAGCAAAGGGGACTGTTGATGATGCTGAAGGTCTTCATAAGGAGCTTTTCTTAGGACCTCAATGCAAAATAATGCTGATATACAATTTGTGGACATCTAAAGGCCTGTGCAATGGAGCCATTGGGTATGTTGAAGACATTTTGTACAGAGAGGATGATGAACCCCCCACAGCATTCCCTGTTGTAGTTATGTGCAAATTTGAAGATTACTCTGGACCAGGCATTGGACCCATGAACTTGGTACCAATTCCAGCAATTTCCAAATATTGGACCAAAGGCTTCGTGCAATGCACACGTGTGCAGTTTCCATTATCTGTGTGCTACTCTTGCTCAGTGCACAAAGCACAAGGATTGAGTCTTGCAAAGGTAAAGTCTCATATGATTTTAATAATGGTTTTTCTATTTTCGTTTTTCAATGTGCCAAAATTGTTTGCTTATAACCATTTCCATTGTGCCTGTTGTTTCAGAGTGTCACTGATATTGGAGATGATGAATTTGCTCTTGGAATCTGTTATGTCGCACTTTCAAGAGCCAAGGCTCTCAAAGGCTTAAAATTGGTTCCTTTTCCAATGGAGAGGTTGACCAAACTGAAGAATTTCAGAGACATGGAGCGCAAGCTTGCATTTGAAAGGTTTCTGGAATCAAAAAAATGATGTTAGAGAGTATCAGAGAACCACAATGTACATAGCACTTTGTTGCCAGTCTGAAGGTTAATTACTTCTTGTGAACATGTAATAAAATACATAATTTTTTGCACCAATTACATTATTTTCGTCCTGCTCCATAACACCAGTACATTTCCATGTAAGATGTTGAACTTCGAAATGAGTTGCGGATCTGATGAGCTGAGCGGACAACGGACGACACCGGCGACTGATGGTAATTGGACAGCAGACGACACCATTGACTGAAAATCTCTGACATGACAATATCTGTGTTGACTGAGTTCATTAAATTTCACTTGAACATACAATAATAAACCTCGACACGCGTAATGGTGGAAAACTCCTAGCAAAGGCTTTTATAACTCCTCGTACAACTTATTGAGGGTCAACGGCGCTGCTCCTGGCGACCCGCCGAACCTGCGTAATGCGAGGTACAATTTCCCGACGCTAGATGGCGTTACCCGGAGGGAATGCCGTTGCAAGGAATACAACCAAGTTCAGAAACGCAACTAAATCCAGTATTTTCTTTGAACACATCAATATGTTGATAATAAGTACTTAAGACATTATTTTCAAATATTAGAACGTTATTATTAAACTGTGCATATAAGCTGAATAATAGAACTCATTTCCTATTTTATATACATTTGAACACCGCCGTCACTGTCCAGCCGGCTCAACATGTCGTGGTCGTATTGTAAACACAGCACCAGCGCCATTTTTCTGCATTGCTGAAAGTTTCTGTGGTTGATTAATTTCTGATTGACATCATGTCTGTTGTACGATTCCTTGAAAACTATCCTGGCGTTGGCCCTGAGATCAAACTTCTCTTGTGGACGCAGATGGAGAGACACGTACCACAGAAAAATCCTGTGGTAGAATCACTTAAGGACCTATGTGATATTCATGGACTCAACGTCGTAGAGACTTTGAGCAATTTATATTTTGGCAGTAAAGACGGACAATGTGACATGAATTACATCATAAAAGTGGTCCAAAAAGAGGTGCCGCATTGTTGTTTTGCGCAAAGAACATGTAATTGCATGTTTCAAGCGCTAGCGGACCTCTCAGCTGCTACAGACCTCAGCAGGAGAGTCTTAAAATCTATTGTCATTGATATAAAAGCTTATTTTACTCTTAATGAAGGTGACGACGTTTATAATGACCCAAATAATGATGAGAATTTTAATTAAAATGTGAAATGTATGTATTATTGTTCTTTCTTCATGTGTGCAAATTCTGTACAAAGATGAAATTGGCATATTTGTCTGCGACATTTGTCATACTTGTTACCCGTGTACTCGTCATTCAACTGTTCCCCTCCTAGTACTGTCTTTTGTTCCTTGTCATGAGTCAGTCTGAAAAAAAAGTGAGACCATGTGAAGCCTGTTTTGTCCCTTATCCAATTGAATCCTGAATCGTCGATAATTTGGAGTGCCATCCATTGACAATCTCACAGGTTATGGGCCCAGAGCACTAGTTATTGATAATCTGGAATGGATTCTGTTTGTGGATTGCAAGGAGACTAACGATAAATCTGAAGGTGTGGTCAGCCGGCATCACTCCCCATCATGGCGAGCGGTGGCGGCGAATCCAGTCCTGGACGAGAAGACTATCGGTAGTGGGAGTTTGCCATGACGAACGATTTGAGACGGCAAGGTCTGTTGAAAGCTGTTGAAGGAACTGATGTGGACACCGAGACCGACAAGGGATCGGCGCGTCGCATCGCATCGAGCGTGCACTCGGTGATATTTGCCTCATGGTCGACCCGCAGAATTGCCAGTATGTTGAATCTGCGACGACTGCACATGAAGCATGGAAGGCTTTGAACGACACAAATTCAAGTCTAAAGTGTTGAGATATTTAGGTTGGTAACTCGCATCTGTCAATAAGCTGAGGGTCTATAATACATGTACTGCCTATAACTCAATAAACCTGTACATACTCTCTCTCGTCCAAAAGAGCTCAAAGAATAAGTTACGTGTGGTTCATTCAATCAACTAAATCCAAGTCCATCCAACTACAATAGAAGATGAGATACCCAAAAACTATCAAATATTGACATAAAGGTCACTGCAGGTACGTGTTGCTGATACGGAAATTGTGTCAGGCAAAGTTTGACGATTTTTTATAGCATGGAATCGTACATTGTTCACATAACCTGTATTGGGCAAGACCTCAAAACCATGAAAGAAGAAGTTAAGGACAAGTATCTTGTGACTATGATAGCAACAACGGCAACTATAAGACTGCATAAGTGGCAGAAACTCACATGACAGAATATAAGGTAAACGTGGATTCAATTTTTGTGATTGACAGTGCGGCTAACACCCATCTGACAAAGGAAACAAAATTGCTGACTGAAGAAGTTCAGGCAGTAAACAGCCAAATAAGTGTGGCCAAGAAAGGGCAGAAACTGCAGGCTAGTGTGATGGGAAGTGTTAAAGCTGAAAGTGTTACGTACTCTTAACAAATGTAACATATGTCCCTGACCATGAGACTAGGGGTAATGGACTCGCAACGGAGCTGGCCGGAATCTCTGCTTTGCTCATTGTAGTTCACTACAGCTCGAACAGGAGCAGCTTCGCCGGTGCGCTTTTTAAATGCGCAGGGCGACGGCCATGGTGCCAGGGGCGACGCAGGGGGGACGCATCTTCAACTTGCGCTAGAAGCTTCCGGATGCCGCAAAAGTGATGGGACAAGTGGTGCACCTTGATATATATCGAAGACCAACTATGTCCCATCACTTTTGCGGCATCGGGAAGCTTCTATCGCAAGTTGAAGATGCGTCCCCCCTGCGTCGCCCCTGGCACCATGGCCGTCGCCCTGCGCATTTGAGTAGTGCAACGCTTAAGCTGTTCCTGTTCGAGCCCTGGTGGGAAAATTGAAACTTTTTTGAATTTAGGGCATACTTTAAGATGTCTTCTTTCCAAAAATGCCCGAGCCATCTCAAAACTCGCATATTTAGTCGGAGAAATAGTGAACTACAATGAGCAAGGCAGAGATTACGGCCAGCTCTGTTGCGAGTCCATTACCCCTAGTCTCATGCCCTGACCTGACAAAAAAATCTTCTTTCTGTAAATGTTGTAACTCAGAAAGGTGGAATAGTAGTATTCGACAACAAAGAAGTCAAAGTGTTCCATAATGTTGAAACCATTGAAGTAGGGTGTCTTCAACCATACACTTTGAGCAGCTCCAGACAAAAAAAAACACTTGGCCGGGGACCAGCGACCGCGGAAGTGGGGTGCAGGGGGGGCGGTTGGCCCCCCCTGAATTGAAACGGGGGAGGCGCCGCCCCCCCTGTTTTTACCATTGTGGCGTCGCAAATTTCTGTATAGTGTCCAAAATTTAACCAAAACTCGCTAATATTTTCGTAAATTCGCTGGCTTTTAGCTCGCTTCGCTCGCCTCTCTTAGTACTTTCCACTAATTGATGACTTTTAACTGTATGCGCTCCATTATAGCTTGTACTTTTCATATTTCGATGGCGTTTAGCTCGCTACGCTCGCATTTCACTGACTTTGAGGGTCAAAAGCGGCCTCTTAACTATTGTAAATTCCACATTACACGCATCTTATAAGCCCCCCCTTTTTATCCTGACCCCCCCCCCCCCCCCACACACACACACACTGAAAAGTCTTGCCCCCCCAGTCATGAACTACTTCCGCGGTCCCTGCCGGGGACCCCCTCAGATCTGGCTCCAACCCGTTTTTTTTGGTTCATCTAGTGAATACGAATTGCCGAAACACAAATTGGGCCGGATCCAACACCGATTGGCTTTTTGGCACGGGTCAAAAACCCCTAAAAATGCCTGTTTTTGAGGGTTTGGGGCTTTTTGGGATCTCCGAACCTGCCGGCTAAAAAATCTACCAATGTGGTTTTTCCGAAAGAAAAAGTGCGCTCTTTCGAATGCCGGGTCGCGCGAGGCTCTACGACGTCGGGTTTAGACGCTACGGGCTCTCAAAGTTGCTCAAATTCACTATTTTCACTAAAAATGACTAAAACAGATTCTTTCTCTCCGGAAGTCGATTGTGACTCTTCCTATCGGCAATCTTCACCATGCAAGGTATTTTTTATACCTCAGAGACATATTTTGGGCAATGAAGTTACGTTTTTCTACCGTGGGGAAAGCCCACACAGTACATAGCGTACATAGCGCCTAGTGGGTAGGCAGCCCCTTGCTCAGGCAAGTCGCGCGGGCCTGCCGCGTCAGGGAGGGCAGAGGTGGGATCGGGGTGGGCTCTATTGGACTTGAGTCAGCGAGCCCATGTGGGCTTCTCAAACCTATGGGGGCACTGAAAATAGAAAGGTGAGACTTCTGACCGCTATAACGGTATTACTGAAATGTACGACCGAAAAAGGGTCATACTGAAATGTAAGACCGAAAAAAGGTCATACTTCGATGTATGACCGAAAAACGGTCATTCTTCATAGTGTATCACAGGTAAAGGCTGATATATCCCCAAGCTAAACAATAACCAGTCTCGCTAATGTCTCACCTTTTTTGGTCATACATTCAAGTATGACCCTTTTTCGGTCATACATTCGGTCATACTTTTTGTATCATCAAAAATCGGTCAGATGTCTCACCCTTCGAATTTCAGTGGGGTAGCACTACGGTAAATTTCAATGGCCACCAGGCCGCCGGTGCAGGCGAAGCGGGCGTGGCGGGCCTGGCAGGCCGAGCGCCTGTGGGCCCACCCGCACGCTCGCCTGACGTGCGGGTTGGCCCATCCTCAGGTTGACAAGCGCTTCAGTGGTTCACTGGTCTGGTTTTCACTTCCAGACCGCTCGCTTGCAGTCTGAAAATCGTTAATCTTGGGTTCTGGAAAATTCAGAGTTCACTTCCTACCCTGAAACGGGGTAATGTCGGGTGTAATTTCGGACAACTCTGCCCTGAAGCATGGCGATGATGCTCCCATCTAACGGCCCACTTGGAGGCCTGTCCCGTTGCGCGCATCGCATCGGCCGCACCATCCGATCAATCACCCGGAGGCCAAATCAGGGGCAAACTTCAGGAGAAAGAGTGGTTTTTGTATTTAACCATTTTTACCTAAATTCGCTTTATGCGTAAAAACTTTGACTGGCAAGCCGAAACTGTTCATGGCCGGTTCATGCGGTGATTGTTTATCGATTCGATCATGTTGAGAGCATACTGTGTCAAATTTTCAATCACCTGGGTCAAATAGTATGGTTTATATGGGCTCTAAACTAAAAAAAATGTTACTTTACGGGGTTATTTCGGACATACAAACGTCACGCCAGGGAGAGTGGGTATGTCCTGAACACGTTCAATTTCGCAGGGTTTGAGTGGTGGAAGCTGAAGAGATCTTCTGAAAGTTGAAGATAATCCAATAACAACTATAATCCCCAATTGTTACAGCAGTTGCTTCGTAAACTTCGAATTTCATAAAAATGGGGCAAAGCTACATCTTTAATACTTAGTTTTATGTGCATATCTTACCTTAGTGTCAACGACTGTTTTGCAATTAATTTTCTTTCATGTGACATGAGAGTTGAACTTGGCGAATGGCTGCATAGCTCGCCGGTATACTACAATTGAAATGCAAAGCTTTCCACTGAGCCCCTGTGTCTTCCTAACCGTACATACGACACGACTACTTGCCCTTCATATGCATGTAAGTTGTCACGGAGCTGTCGATTTTGAAGCAACGTTTGAAGTTCCCGCGCGCCGCAGCGCGCCAGCCAGCTACGCTACGCCACTCCATCCCGCACTGAAAAAAAAGGTGTGTTGGTGCAACCCATCATTTTACTAGTTGGCGGCAGTTTGTTGCGAAAACAATCGGAAATTGTTGTTAGCACTATGTTGAGGGTGTGCGAGCAATTTACTCGATTGTCAGAAACATTCACAATTGTTGGGGAAACCATCTGAAACTGTAGGCATAGGGTGCGGTCCAAAACTTGCTCACAGCGCTGTCAGCGCCCTCACGGTCGGTCCGAAACAACCGTGAGCGAGCTCTCGCGAGACGTATGACGTCACACTTCCCGCTCTCACGACTGCTCACGGCGCCCCACCTCCGACCCTTGAGCGACGTGAGCACAACAGCAATTGCGCGCCAAAAGCACAAAAACAAGACAAAGAGACTGGAGAGAGTGCAGAGGAGGTATGTCCTAGTTAACGAATATTAGTTGTTGAAACACTCTTCAGAGCGTCTGGAAACCTTCTAATATGTTTCTGTAACTGTTCAGCAGTAAAGATGCCGTCCTTCACAGTATTTGACGCCTCAACGAATATGGATGTGTGCTTAACAGTCAGCGATGCTGACTATCAAAGAGCAATGGCAGGTTAGTCTCTTGGCTACTTTCCATTCTGTGCTTTGTTTGGCCTTCCTTTTCATTTTCACTTCTTTTATTTTTCCCTCCTTTGATAGACAATACGTTCCTTGTGGCATTAGTCAATCAAGAATACTCAAGAAGGGCGGAAGCAATTGCCGCTGCTGCTGATGCAGGTAAGCCTTTTGACACGATTCATTCATCTTGATTGTGTTGGTAATCAGCACTAAAAGACTTTGTTTGATTCTCTGCAGATGAAGCAGAAGCTGCAACAGAAGACGCACATGCACCCTCCGATGAGGCGCAGGAGGAGCAGGAGGTCCAGGAGGGTGGAGACCAAAAATCTATCTTTTTGTGGACCACCGACGTAATATATCTGCTCCTCTCTTTGTATGAAGAAAATATGGAGCAATTTTCCGCAGGGAAAAAAACCCACAAGAAAATTTGGGCTGGCATTGCCGCGGAGGTAAAATTGAAAAGTGGGAAAGATCCCAAAGGTGAGCAATGCCAGTCCAAAATGGCCTCGTTGAAAAAGACCTATAAAAATATTATTGACCACAACGGTGTGTCGGGCAACAATAGGAAAACCTGGCCATACTTTAAGGTCAGTACCGTAGTGTAATCATATGAAACAAGCCATCATTTAAATGCCAGAAATTTCTTTATAATAGTATCCACAATTCTATTTTGCAGAGGATGGATGAAATTTTTGGCAAGAGTGGGTGGGCCGAGCCAAAAGCCCTGGCAACGGAAGCTGGCCCTGGTCCTGGCCCTGGCTCTTCTGCTGCCTCTGCATCAGACTCACCACCAGTAGCCAAAAAGGCCAGAGCAGAGGTCCTATTAGATAAATTTGTTGAAGAGCTGAGGAGGGAAAGAAAAGAGAGGGAGGAGGCAAAGAGGAGGGAAAAGGAGGCCAAAGAGGCGGCCTTTCAGAAACTTCAAATGGAGAGGAAGAGCCTCAAAGAACAGATGCATAGGGAAACTATGGAAATGATGAGAAAAATGACGGAGGCCATTACTGGCAAAAAAATTGACAATTAGTCCTAGCTAAAATGAAGTTTTGTTAAGTTGTTTTTTTAAATTTTCTATTCTATTCTATGACGTAAAGAGACAACACTTGCAGTCCAAGTTCATTGGCTTAGTCTTTTGCTGTAGCTCAGACCTAAGAGTTACTGGCACATAGACAAAGCTGTAATGATCTGGGAGTGCCAATGCTGTCTGATTGTGCTGTTGCAGTTTTGTCTATGTGCCATGTATCTCTAGGTCTAGTCACCCTTCGAACTTAGGCTGTGATATTTTGTCTTTATGACCTCTAGTATTAATGTGAATGGAGCTCATCGCTACTAGCCTTTTATTTTTGCAAAAGGCATCCTAAGATGATCTCTCTTCTATATCTAAGTACCTAAATGTTTGTTTTACTCTTATCTATTTAATAAGTCAAATGTTAAAAGAAACTAGTTGGCCCGTATCGTGTATGTTTTGTTAAAAAAAAATACCGAAGGGATGGGCATATTTTTCAATCAAGCACTATCACAGCAATATCTGGCGTCCATGATCATTTTGGCAGTCTTTTGCTGTAGCTCAGACCTAAGAGTTACTGGCACATAGACAATGCTGTAATGATCTGGGAGTGCCAATGCTGTCTGATTGTGCTGTTGCAGTTTTGTCTATGTGCCATGTATCTCTAGGTCTAGTCACCCTTTGAACTTGGGCTGTGATATTTTGCCATTGTGCTTGTGTTGATGTTTAAGTTTGGTATAGGTCTAAACGTACTTCAAGCGTTTCTAGACAAACTTTTTATATTTCATGTTTTGTAAAGTAATTTTTTTTTGAATTACTAATAAACTTAATACAATTATAAGCACCCCATATTTCACATCATGATACCTGCATTCAGTTATCTCTCATGATAAGGGTATTCATTAGCCGCTGTCTTTTCAATCCACCTTCAATCGCATGACCAGCAACTAAGATGCCACGATTACCTTCAAATGGTAGAGGCTCAAATTCTACCATATCATCCCTCATGACACATATATTGTGGAGAACCATCGTAGCCACTAAATACTCGGGTATTTTTTCAATCTTGACCATAGGCAAACAATCAAGGACACTCCTCCACCTTGCCTTCCAAAGACCAAATGCCCTTTCAATTGAAACTCTAGCTGATGACAAACAATAGTTGAAATTTTTTTGTCTGGCTGACAAATGATGGTTATCTTTGAATGGCACCATAATGTGAGGGTGAATACCGTATGCCGCATCTCCAACAATGTGAGAGTCATTGGGAAAGTAAATATTAGGATTCCCCACAAATTGAGCCACTGGAGAGAGTCTGAACACTCTCGCATCATGCACTGACCCTGCATGACCAGCATAAACACTCGTAAATATTAAATCATGAGTACAAACAGCCTGCAAAATGAACAGAAATGATAACCACATGAAACAACAAGAAGGTTTCAAAATTAGAATGGTAAAAATGTTATTCTTAGCACCTGCAGTTGGATTGAAGGATAACCCTTCCTGTTCACATACGCTTGGTGAACATCATCAGGCGGATTCAGGATCTCAACATGCGTCCCATCAATGGCTCCTATCACACCTGGGAAAGCACTGTTACGCTCAAAAGCTGACATGACCTCAGCCGCCCGTTCACCCTGTGGCCACTGGATAAAGCGAGGCGCAATTTCGTGAAGGGCCTTTGCCACTCTGCGCATAACGCGGATGCTGGTAGCCTTCCCGATATTAAACTTTGTGCTAACAGATCTGGAAAAAGACAAGTGTATTTTTCACTCTGAGCACTTAAGGATTGGGACAAGTGAACAGTAACAAAGTGTACAAAAGTCAGTACCTGTAGCAATCTGGAGTGGCCATCATCCACAAGGCCATCAGTAGCTGAGTCCGAGCTGGTGTCTGGGGCCGCCCTGTTTGTCCCTGCCTACTCAGACGGGGCTCCAGAAGCTCTAACACATACTCAAATGTTGCAGGATATAATCTAGTCAAATAAAAGAATAGAAAAAAAACCATCAGCAAGTGTGCGAGTGTTCACATGTGGCTGTAGCCATACAAATAATGACTGTCGATACAAACCTGAAATGGGACTTAAACTCCTCAGGAGAGTATCTGGGAATTGTATTTTCAACAAAGCCCTCAATACGGGGCCTCTTTATCTGTGGACCTCTCAATTCGCCAAGTAACGCGGCTCCAGCGGCCTTTCTGACTTGTTCTAAATCATCCTCGCTGCTCGATGACGAACTAAACATTGATTTTTGTAGCGTTTCCAGATCTTCTTCATCTGATGAACTATCTAAGCTGTCTAAAGCCGTTTTAACGACTTGAAGTAATGCTAATTTTGAAAATTCGTTCATTTCTAAATTATCCATGTGAGCAAGAGGTTATGTAGTTGTCAACAACAGCCGGAAATCGCTCACAGGCGGTCCGAAACGACGAGCGCTATCTACACGACAACATTTCGGACCGCTCTTCGTGAGCGTGAGCTCTGTGAGCTCTGTGAGCAGGTTTTGGACCGCACCCATAGTGGTCGTTGGGCCAACCATCTCGGAAGCTGCTGGAAGCATTCGAGTCAGGGAGGGGGGTCCCGCAAGCCAGCGGAGGGTTCGGTGAGCCGGCGTAGGCCGGCGGCTCTCGGCGGCCCGCCTTCGGGTCCGTTCGGATCGGGCAGGGAGGAGGAGAGGGGGTCACGCCGAAGGTGTCGAGTCGACGGGGGCGGGGGCGGGGGGGGAGGGGGAGGTGCGTGTCCGACAAGGAGCAAGCGAGATATCTACGCGTGCAGGAGTGAGACGCAGCCACTTCCGCCCGAGCCGTGTCGTGCCGGAGCAGGCGCGCACGCTGCGACGCGCCGAGGGACGCCACGCTCACGCCGCAGCCGAGCCGCATTCCAGCGTCCCAGAGTCACCATTTCAGCGAACGCGATATTTGTGCTTCGTTCAAGTTTCTGTCGTTAATCAAAGTTAAAAATGGACCGCACAGTGCTGTTTAACCTACAGCGCATGGGAATGGAGAAGCATGCGGATCTGTTCAGAGGTAAGTGTTGTGAAAGATCGGTGTAGAACCTAACCTCGCCGGTGGCCGGGCACTGGTGCTGGAGCCCTGCGGGGCGGCCGCGCACTGGTGACTGAGCCCTACCGTTTGCCTAAATTGTGGCGGACTCCGGGCGGGCTTGGCAGGCACTTGCCGGTTGAAGTGGCCGGGCGCCAGTACCGCGCGCGGCGGGTGGCGGGATCTCTCTGTCTCTCTCGCGCCCCTACAGCACACTACACAGTGCGAGAGAGACAGCTGCAATGCACAGTGGGCCAGAAGACCGGTGGAGGCGGACAAAACTCTAGACGCATTTGAACTTGAGTCGCTACATGGGGCTCGAACCGATCGCGTGACCCCACCAATGGATTTGTATCCGAAAAAGGAATCCATTGATGGGGTCACACGTTCGGTTCGAGTCCTGTTTAGCGACTCTGGAGCTCAAAACGCGTCTAGAGTTTTGGCCACCTGCGCCGGTCTTCTGGCCCACTGTGCAGTGGCCGGTCCGCCAACAGAGCGATCCCGCCAACCGCACTCTGCGGGCGAGGGGATTGTTCTGTCTCTCTCGCACCCCTACGGCACACTTCATGAGTGCGAGAGAGATGGGCAAGGCGCCGCCTGCACTTTGCTATCTCTCTCGCACTCATGGAGTGGCTGCGAGCAGCTGACTTCGGCTGTGAGTGTGCGAGTGAGAGCGAGAGCGTCGCAGCGCGTGGCCGACAGCACCTCAGACCTCGCTTCGTCTCTCTCGCACTTCCATGGCACACTCCATGAGTGCGAAGACTGACTGGGCAAGGCGCCGCCTGCACTCTTTGCTGTCTCTCAATAAACACTTCCACCAGAACGCCCAGTGAAGAACAAGAAGAATATCAAAAGCCGGAAACAGTCCGTAAAAATCGCTCCTTTGATCATATTATAGGTTCATTTGGGTTCTAGAAATTATTTAAGATTAAATAAATACGAGTTTTATGATTGTAAACAGTCAAAACCTACAATTAAGACGTTTATCGGAACTGGTTCCGGTACCATTTCTTCCTCTTGTTCTTCACTTGGCGTTCTGGTGGAAGTTTCTATAGTTGCCCCTCCCCACCCCCCTGTGAAAATGCCTAACCATCTATTCATATTTCAGAAAATCGAATTAAATGGGAAACTCTCAGAGAAATGAGTCGATTGACAATGAGCTCCCTGTTCGCCGGCAAGGTGAACGAACTGTTCGAGTTTGAGAGGGCGTACAAGAAACTGAACGGAAACTGGGCGATTCCAGAAACGGAGTTACCGCCTTCTGGAAGCCAGGTATCGCCAACTGTCCTTGAAGTGCCCTGTTTGAATTATTTCGACATCAAATTACTACTGTTTCCACGAAACTGAGTTTGCGTATTAAAATACAAAATTTGCCTTTGAGAATAATACACGGGAAACCTAACTGTCTACTACAAACGCATGCTTGACGCCGTGTAACTATATGCGTCAAGCATGCGTTTGTTAGTGTGTACTTTCAAGCATGCATTTGTAAGAGTGTACATACACTGTGCAAATTTGTTGTCACTTTATGACAAAAACGCGGATGACATTTTCGTCACTTTCAAATCATGACAATTTCATCACAAATTGATGACATTTTCATCAAAGCTCCTATACTTATTGCATGGGCGTGACAACAATGTCATCAATTTTTTTGACATCCTTGTAAGGAAAATTAGCCTTGAAATTGTCATCAAGTGACGACTCAAATTTTCTCAGTGTAGTAGACAGTTAGGTTTTTAGTGTAACTCGGAGTGCAGCGCTCGGGGGCAGGGTGCCTTCAGGCGAGACGCCACCGAATGGAAACCGAAAGAAGAGGACCCTCTCGATTGGACACATGACAACTTCACAGTGAGCCTAAATTTAAGTATATGCCGGTGCTGGACATTATTGCGTAAGGTAACCTTGATCCAAAAAACTCGGCCGCCAACAAAAGTTATTTGCTTGCGGCCCAGTTTGGGCTGGATGCGGTTTGACGTTCTGAGACTCAGAAGTAGTCAGACCGAGAGGTACCGCACACTGAGGCAAAAAAAAAACTCAGTATTCTCTGGAGGGACCGTAGTTATCTCCGTAGGACGTGGAATACTGTATACTCCTACGGAGATCAGTGTAACGTCCCACGGAGGTGACTGTACGGGCCTACGGACAATATTGACAAGTGGGCTACGGAGAAAAGCCACAAGCTGTTTACAGAATTTACCGTAGCTTTTTGCCACAGTCAATGCACGCATTTGCGTCTGCACTGGGATGGGACTCGATCACCAAGGAATTTCCCCCCCCCCCCCAAAAAAAAAAAAAAAAAAAAAAAACCTCGGCGGTTCTCAACCTTTACTGGCTCGAGGCCTCGAGGCCGCAAAATTTGTAGCCAAAAATATCTCTCCCCCACGCGACCCCTCCTTTAGCATGCCTATCTTATGGAGTGCGATTATCCTTGTAGTCCGGGTTGATCAAAACGGTCACAAATGTCTTTGAAAAATCGTGTTTTGAGCGGACTTTAAGCAGCCACTGCGTCTGATCCGAGGCGGTATTTCGTACTCCCTTAACGGACAGTTGGTCTTTGGACCTTCCATTAGCATGCATTATTACGGAATGCAATTATTCGCCTTAGTTTGGGAGCAGTATTGTCGCAAAGTTGACTAAAACGGTCACAAATGCATTTGAAAAATCGTGTTTTGGGCCGATTTCAAGCAGCCACTGCGTCTGATCCGAGGCGGTATTTCGTACTTCCTAAACGGGCAATTGGTCTTTTGACCTTCCATTAGCATGCCTTCGTTACGGAGTGCGATTATCCGCCTTATTTTGGGAGCAGTATTGCCGTAAAGTTGTGCCCCGCTCAGTGCTTAGCCCGTGGGGCAGCCGGGAAATCGCCGCGATCCCGCGACCCCAGCCCCAGCCACCTCGCCGCAATCCCCCGAAATTTTTTCGCGACACCATGGTGGGGCCGAGCCGTTTCGGAGGAGTTAGTGTACTGTACACACCCACAGACAGACAAACAGACAGACAAAACTTTTTCAACCCAGTGGAGTGACGGGCTCTGCTATCGCTCAGCCAACTATCGCTTAGCCAAAAACGCTAGAACTTGAAATCCCTTAAATTTAAATCCACTTGCAACTTTGCACTCCAAGTACGCCCCGCCCCGAGGCCGTCAACGCCGTCACCGTCGTCCTCCCCTGCGAGCGGTTTAAGTATTCGGCGGGTGCAGCCACTATTCCTTGAGGTGACCGTGTCCAATCCTGGTTTAGCTTCTTGCATGCAACTTCTGTAGCAACTTAAATATCACAACTGCACGCTCACCGTCTATGAGCTATTTCTGCGCAAATAAGTAGAACTCTCACATACTTGAGCTTTTGCTCAATTGTTAATACTGGTTGATACCAACCAAGACAGAAAGTGAGCCCAAGTAGTATAGATTTGCGTGCATTTTTTTCACAGACCGATGCGGGCTGGAGCTGGTGTCATGTTTTCCTTTTTTTTTGCAGAGTAGCGTGCTGGTCGCTGTTTGCTGAATTTCTCGGTTTTAATAGACACTTCCACCAGAACACCGAGTGAAGAACAAGAGGAAGAAATGGTGCCGGAACCAGTTCCCATAAACGTCTTATATATGGGTTTTATGACGGTTGACAATCATGAAACTCGTCTTTATATAATTTTAAATAATTTTTAGAACCCAAATGAACCCATAATATGATCAAAGGAGCGACTTTTATGGACTGTTTCCGGCGTTTGATATTCTTCTTGTTCTTCACTCGGCGTTCTGGTGGCAGTGTCTATTGGTTCATGTCTAACATCCCTTTGTTTATGCAGGACGAGTCTCAGCAATCTGACCGGGAGGACGACGACGAGACTCAGTTCGTCCCTCCAGTCATCGACTCACACGAGACTTCAAGGCTCAACTCGACTTCAGAGCCCAACCCTGACCACACTTCAGAGGGAACCTCGGGTGACACAAGGAAAAGAAATGCAGAGTCCGAGACGGAGACGCCGCCCCCAAAGCAGCCGAGACCAACTGAAGCAAATGCAAGTTTTTATACATTATATTTTTAAAGTTTTTGCCGGTCGCACGCTGCGCACATCATTCTCATAATTTTTCTACCTTTCTTAGGTTGTGGAAGAATATTTGAAACCAGGGCTCATTGGAAAAGTGCTCCTGTCAGTAGGACGGAAAAGGAGCTTCGACCAAAGTAACAGAGTAAAGTTGGCGGAGACTATTGTGTTGGGGGAGCTGGGCAACGATGCAGAAAAATCGTAAGTATTAATCTGTTGGCAAATTTTGAAAAAAACGAACAAGTGCACTTTTTCTAACTTGGAAACCTTTTTTCCCTAGGATTTCGCAGAAACGGCTCTCCTTTCTGTCAGAGTGCATCGTAAAGATTTTCCCTCTGGAAACTGCTGCAATCTACTTCACTCCAAGGGTGCCTGCAAAGGGGTTGGTTCCGGCTGTGCAACCAAAAGGGGTGCTTGTGGATAAGTACCACAACCTCCTCCGAGTTCTGAGGCAAGAGGGCCTCAGGACCAGTAATCGGAGATCCCGATGCGATGAAGGAGACGAAGATGACTTTTCTGATTCTGGAGGTGTGTTACAGTGAACGGAGGTGCATTGTCATTTCCACATTGGATTGTTTATCTGCACTTTATTCTTTTTTTACAGGGGATGATGCCTTGGATTATCTAGAAAAGAACTCCTTGGCGAAAAAGTCTGTCACTATTGCCAAGTGGCATGAAACCGTCCACAAGCGCTACTCTATGCTTCTCAACACGGTTGACAGAAAAAGTAAGGCCCGCATGGGGCAAGAAAAAATAGACGTGTATTACAACCAATTCCCATGCCTGAAGCAGCAATGGGGTCTTGATTTGGTGGGTTTGTTTAGTTTTTTCTTAAGTCCGAATAAGAATTGCTTTTGTTATTTTCTGAATGTCTATCTCATAATTATTTTATTTACTCGTTTTCACAGCTTATGGATGATTTTGACGAACTGTTTGCCAACCGTTGTCTGAATGTGCTTGAAAACTGGACGAGTATCGTGGCCAAACTAGAAAAGGTTCTACAGAAGGTTTACACCCCAGACGCGTGTTGCACTGAAGCTGGTGTGTATTACAAGTTTACATTAATTATGCAATGTGATTGCGACAGTTAGTGTACGTTGTCTGAGATTTCATTCTATTTTTCAGGGGAAAATGTGAGACTGCTGCAAGCAATCCCATCTCTGTTCAGGCAACCACCAGTGCCCTACGGTAAGAAACTTGCAAAAGGAGAATTGAGGGTACATTGGAAACCAAACAGGCAAGAAAGTGTGAACGGCTTCCTTTTACATGCAGAGGTATGGGTTTGCACCCTTTTTTTCGATACTTATTTCTTCATTTTTGAAGCTTTCCCTTTTATTTGTTTAATTTTTATTGTTTGATGTCTTTCTTACAGAATAACAGCATTTTGACGGATAGAGTGCAACAGATAAAGGATAAGTGTGGCAAGGTCTCCCAAAACGCTTCAGCCGTTTGCTGCAGTTGTAGGACCCACACCAGATGACATAGAGGATTGTTATGTCATACTAGACAGCTTTTGGTATAAGGTTGAGAGCCCTTTGCAGCGGTGGACTCTTGTTTTAAAATCACCCAAAGTTCTGCTTTCCCAACTACCCAGTTCAGTTTTCCTACTCTTGGATGTATCTGCAGCATGCTGTGTACCAACTCAGCACAAACTGGGATTTAAACTTTCCCCGGTTTATTGGAGAAGTTGAGAGGTTTAGAAGAGTCAGTGTATAGCTGTGTGCGTATTAAGTCTGTGTTTAAATTAGTAGTCAGCTAATAGTTGTAGACACTTTGTTTGGATTTTACTATGAGATATTGTACATAATTAGCATTAAGGTACCGTCAAGATTTAGAAATTTTTCTTTTTTTTGTTACCATGGCATTTTGTCCTAAATGTCCAAGTTCTCACGAACTTTATAGCATTCATAATCTCAAACTTCACGTTAACCTAAATCACAAGTACAATTTTGTCAACGTTCAATGTAAGCAGCCAGGATGTGGTAGAGACTTTGCAGGGTGGACTGAGTTTCGCAGACACTTGTCTTACCATAAGTGCCAAAATTCTCAGAGAACAAAATATTTTTTCAAACGAACCTCCACTGCAAATTGATGACATTGTAGTTGATAGCCATGTTGAGGCAAACAGTGAAGAGTATAATAACACTAACAGCTCTGAGGCAGCGGAGAGTCACATAGACAAATTATTTATGTGTTTTATAGCAAAGCTATATGGAATGCCTGATTTACCTCGCAGTTTCGTGCAGATTATTGTTTCTGATGTGACTAACCTAATTCATGAAATTGCCTGTCAAATATTTCAAACTAAGAACACATACTCTTTTGAGAACTCAAGTTTTTGCGTAGTGTTTTTGGTTTTTTGGGAAAAAAATTAATAAAATTTTTTCATAAGTACCGTACTGAATATCGACGGCTTCAAATTTTGGAAGAGTCTGGTAGCTTTATTAAGCCCAAACCTTACGATGTTGGTGGTGAACTTGTTAAAAAGGGAGTCGAAGGGAGGTTGGTTAAACGTCTTGTCCCCCTCAGTGGTCAGTATTTCCCAATGAAATCTGTGCTACAATTATTCTTCTCTTTGCCTAACGTTTTGAAGGAAGTACTTAGTTATGTTACTTCTTTAGAAAACCAAGAAAATGTTCTGTCAAATTTTGTTCAGGGGGCACTGTGGAAAGCCAAGAAGGATAAATACTTCAAGGGCAAGATTGTTTTGCCTTTTTTCTATATTATGAGATTTTAAAATCAATAATCCTCTTGGTTCACATGCATGTGTGCAGAAAGGGGAGGAATTATTATACAATAGCTTGCCTCCCCCCAGAGCAAAGATCTGTCCTAAGTAATATTTTCCTTGCATTAGTAAATTATGCCATGGACCGTAAAAGTTCCACCACCACCAACTGTCAAAATGAAATGATTTTTAGAAAGGTTGTTCATCAGATCAATTATCTGCAAAAGGAAGGTATATCTGTAAAAAATGATAAAGGAGAGGACATTCGCTTTATTTTGCATTTGGATTATTACTAGGAGACAATAAAGGGCCCTAAATTCTGTGCAAGATTATGCTGCATCAACTCACTACTGACAGTGTGCAAGGTAACCTCAGAGGACATGAAGACAGATTTATATGAGAAACCAGAACTTATCCGGAGTGAAGATGAGTATGTAACTGATGTATCTCAAGGATACAAGCAGTCAGGATTGAAGAAATCATCTGTGTGGAACGAAATTGATGGGCACAATGTATATAATAATATGGCATTAGATATTATGCATGATATGGAAGGGGGGTTTGTAAGTATGGGATGTACCATGTTGTGTACCACTACGTGTACAATGCAAAAAAAAAAGGGGGCCCTTTAAAATTTTTAAATGAGAGAATGAAAACTTTTGTTTTTTATGGTAATGGCTTTACGAACCGTCCACAGTACATTTCTGTATCAGATTTAACAAAAGAAAAGCGTCTTAGAATGTCGGCTTCAGAAATGCTTACTTTCGTTTTAGTTTTTCCTTTCCTTGTTGGTGATTTAATCATTTTTGATAGTGTCTGGCAGTATTATTTAATGTTGAGAAAAATTTTAGTATTTGTTCGTGCTCCTGCATTTCACCCAGAGAGTATAAATTCTCTTAACGAGTGGGTAGCTCAGCACCATAAACTATACATAAAATTATTTAATGACACACTGAAGCGCAAATTTCATAATATGTTGCACTACAGCCGTGCTCTTAGACTTTCAGGACCACTTGCGGGTTTTAAAGTTCTTACGGGTTTTGAAAGTAAGCACAGACCAACAAAAAAGTAGCAAGTTCAAATCGTCTAGGCGAGACCCTGCTCGAACCATTGCACTCAAAGAGCAGTTGCAGCTTTGTTCTAAATTTCTGAGTGGTGATATGTTACTTTAAGGTTTGATATGGGCCCCTCCTCCATGATGTCTCATTATGATAAGTTAGATTTAGATATTCCAGTAGATTTTGGTGATAACCTAGTTGAGACGTCATGGGTGGACTTCAAGGGAACAGTATACAGACCTGGAATGATTGTGTATGTTGGAAGTGATGATGTGCACAGTCTTCCGGTGTTTGGCAAAATAAATAGCATCATTTGCAATGAAGATTGCAATGTGGGATTTATTTATCAAAAATTTTAAAATAGGGGTACGCGCCGTTTGTTTGGGGGCGTAGTAGGCGAGCGATGCGTCTGAACAATCTTATAGGAGATGGCGAAGAAGTGTGGAGAATAAGGCCAATACGTGTCTTCCCTCACGAAAAGGCGGGGAAATTTATGTCATTTTTGTGATTTTCTTACTGAAAACTGAGGAAACAATGGGGAAAATCAACTTTGTAATTTGGTCACAAATTGGTAAATTTTTGGAAAAGGAAAAGGGCTGGGATGAAATTGGAAGTCAGTTTCGTGATCGCACACCAAAAACTGCAGGAAACTATGTAAAACTCGACTCAAAATTTTGGTCCAAAATTGGTAAATATTTTGGGAAAAATAAAGGTCTGAGATGAAATTGGAAGTCATTTTTGTGATCAGCACACCAAAAACTGCAGGAAACTATGTATAACTCGACTCAAAAAATTTTTTGGGCCAAAATTGGCAAATATTTGGAAAAGTAAAGGTCTGAGGAAATTGGAAGTCATTTTCGTGATCACACCCAAAAACTGCAGGAAACTATGTTAACTCGACTCAAAAATTTTTGGGCGAAATTGGTAAATATTTGGAAAAGTCAAGGTCTGGGATGAAATTGGAAGTCATTTTCGTGATCAGCACACCCAAAACTGCAGTAAACTATGTAGAACTCGACTTCAAAATTTTGTTCGAAATTGGTAAATTTTGGGAAAAGTAATGGTCTGGGTGAAAGGAAGTTATTTTCGCAATTTCTAAGTGTGTTTCCTGTTCATTGTGTCGTAAAATGAACCCTAACACTGTTACTCAGCGAGTAACATTCAACAGCCAGCATTGAATTACTTCATACGATTCACAAATGCTTCAATTACCATTCGATATCTCCTTTTTATTGAACTTATGAATACACAAGTTAAGTAAAACCTAAAAAGCCCTTTTTTTCCCTTTTTTTAAACTAGTGGATGAAACTTCATTGATTTATCTCAATTCATTAAAAAAAGACACATTTACAGGCAGGCTGATTGCAACTACTTTTCGGAGAAGACCTTCTGTCAGATCCAATGAATCGTTCCATTTAATTTAATGCGAGCCCACTTATTGCTAAACGCAAGTTAATCTTATTCATAAGTGTCATGATGTGATATTTTAAACTTTAAAAATATAGCATAAGTATTTACCTAACATTGTGAATAAATTAAAAAGACAGTCAACTCAAAAATGACTGACCAAAATACCAGTTTTCGCAGACAATGTATGATGAAGTTAAAAGAATCGTCTCATGAAATCATATGACCAAGTCATGAATCGTTTATTGAATCAGATGTCAATGTCAAACCATGTATGCGCTACTCTCACTCACCATATAGTTGTCTTTAAGGTTAGTACTATAGTAAAATTACAGCATTGCAATGAAGCCTTTCCCAGAGTCAGTGCCAAGAGTCAGCAAAGACTTTTTTTTTGGCAAGATTAGTGTCTGGTTTGTACTTTTAGATTTCATTTATCTATTTTTAACTGTTATTTAGCAAAGCAAACAATAAAAAGTATAATGTTGAGAATAAAAATGGAAATACACTCTCAAAACTTAAAAAGACCAAATCATTCTTGCAATTATCAAACGATCAAACACACTCCACTGACTAAAACATTTCCCCTGTGGCGGGGGAGGGGAGGGGGGGGACGGACGGACGAAACGCGTAATAAATTTTCACTTTTATTTTCCGTATTTCACTGTGTTGACACTCCGAGGGGTTTTAATCATTGTGAATATCGAAAAACTAAGACCGAACTCACTTCTAAGCCCTTCTCCTCTCTATTTTTTTTTATTTCCAATGTTTTGCCAGTCCCGTATTTGAGAGCCGCGGCCGCAAGTATGAAAAATTTCTATATATGCTGCCAACCTAACCCCGCTAAAACTAATTCAAAAAGGTGTTTTGAATATTTCAAACGATAGTAATCGTGAATATAAAATAAACTCCCCCTGTGGGACCTTTAGGGGATGTTCGGTGCAAAATTTTGGGAACTATTAGTGTTGTAGTTGCTGAGAAACGTGAGCGTGTACGCTACAGACAGACAGACAGACGCACGACCAGTCACTTTTTGGAGCGCCCAAACACGGCAAGGGCTCGCTATCGCTCGCCAACAATAGGGCTTATGAAGATATGCTGCTTATGAAATTTTTGACCTTGATAGCAGTACATTTTAAAATATCTGATTAATTTCACACCCCCCGTCTTTTCCATCAATTTTCAGACGGCAAAAAGTTTGTAGCTTTATTTTGATGTGTAAACTACCTTAATTCATTTTTAAAGTAAAAACTGAAAATCTGATACAGAAATTTACTGTGTAAATACTGTAAAATACTGTTGTGCTATTGTTAGTTTTATTGCTCTGTAACAATATAGTAAGTTGTGCTATGTTGTGCTGTGTAAGTTGTGCTATTGTTAGTTTTTTTCCTGTCATTGAAG